TAATGATGGTCTGGTATTGCCTTTGTGTGACCAAAATACTCTAAATAAATAACGTCAATAAAAAAGTAAAGATGGCATTAAAGAATACAAACAAATATTAACATTTAACATAACATATGCTGGTTATTTCTCAAATAGATACCACGACAACTTCTGTAAGATGTCTTCCTTAAGAAAAGAGGCTGTACCTCCAGCTTTCTGTGAGTTGCCATATAAGGTATATATGTATTTTTAAAAGAATTCTTAAAGGGATGTAACAATGCAATCGAAGAGGATGTCTTTTCCTACAAAAGTTAATTTTAATATGTCAAGAAGAATCAAGCTATATTCTTCTATGCCACATTCAGTAGACAGCCACGTAGATCTACGTCATCGTCCAACTACACGAACTACGCGACATTGGCTTTTACGTCGCAAACAAACACAAATATTAAATGTTTGATTATGATATTATGTTTGCACAACTATTTAGGGTTGCCTGTCAGCTCCTTATCATATTAAACTTGGAATATTTTCGTGTTTAGTACTATATTGTTTGATTTATAACATTGCGCTCAAGGGCAAAGTATAATTGAGAAATTCATAATGGAGTCTTAGACTTAGGTGCCTTAGTATTTTGTAGTATGATGACACTGTTGTACTTCCAGTTATTAAGCCTTTGAAAGATTTCTTTAGAAAAATGTCCATTTTACTTCTCAATTTCCAAACAATTAGATTAAAACAACACGTCTATCGTGTACCAATTCATTGCAGACTCAACGTAAAAAATACCGAAGACACAGAACGGAACTCTTCAAAAAATAACAGCACAACGTTGGAAATTGCTTCAATCGGTTATAAAATCATTGCTTTTAACACGCCATGATTCTGTTTTAAGCGCGATAGTCGTGATACACTCTGCAATGCATACTTTTCAGATATTCACCCTCCGGCCGGGTCAATAACCGGACCGATGTAGGGTTCAGCTACAGTCGGTATCGCTTCGTTTTTTATGAAGATGGTTAAGTATTTAATTTACTGGATTATTATATATAATTAATCATCCTGTCTATTTCAATGGATCGCTAAGCACGAGCTTTAAAACTGGATTCTATGCACGATTCGTGAAGGTATGAATTGAAAAAATGTTCAAAGAACTAAGTCTGAATTTGTTTAGTCTCATGTTATACGGAACTAATACGAAAATTGGAGAAAAGTTCGTTGTCCTTTAAGGAACCTACGAACTTCATAGTAAAATATTTGCATTTTGCAAGCTTGTTTATATTACGTACGTTTAGTTACGTCTGAAAATGTCCCTCTATAGTCTATCTAGTGGATCTAACGTCCTATGATCATAGTTAAAAAGTAAATTTCTTTCAAAATATTACCATAATATATCCTGCCGCATTTTAGACTAAAAAAGTGGTACAGATTACGCACGACCTATTTTTAGGTCTCACAATATCGATTTACCAAAAACGTCCTTGGCACATATCAGGGTGAGAGAGAATTGTGCAAATTTTGGGAAAACTGAATTCCGTCCGGATGAAATGCCACACTCCTGGGATGGGATCCGTACCCGCGTACCGTAAATTTTGTCGAGATTGGCAGCCCTAGGCGCCGGCGGCAACGAAATACACATACGTTGATATCGCAAACAATTTTCGTATGAAACATTCATCGTGTCGTATGAAAAAATGAAGCGAACAACGTTTTAAAATGTTTAAAAGGTTTACTGAAAAATGGAATATGATGAAGGTAACTGAAAACACTTTTTTTTTTTTTTTTTTTTAAGGGTGGAAAATCATCGAATGACTGCTCCCGCCTGGGTGAGGCGGAAGGGAGTGTCAGACTCTTACTGACTAAAAACCACCCCGTTCCTTCTCCTGCACGTCGAGCCGGAGCCCCGGTTACCCGTTAGGTTCTCCGCGACTCCGAATCGGCATCGGCCCTATTGGGCCCCATCTGTGGTGGTCTGATGGCTCTTTGAGGCGCGCGCGGAACGCGACGCGCCGTACGCTCGGGTCTGTTTCTGGTCGGACGGGGAGCCACCCATGCTCGCCGTCCGCAGGCCCGCGCTTACGGTGGCCGGAGATCGTCCCGCGATCCCCGACGCCCGGTGTGTCCTTCGCGATGGCTGGGTTGCGAGGAGGCAGCGCTTCGCTGCCTCACGCGTCCCGCCTCCTCCTTAGCTAGCATGACTGCTTCGCAAAAGGAGGAGACGGCATCCCAGTCCCCCTCGCTCCGCATCATGGCCTGCACTAGGCCCGGACGCGAGAGGTCGCCATCGCCGATCACTTCCCTGAGGGCACGGCGGTGCTCAGCCCACGCAGGGCATTCCGCTACGGTGTGTTCCACCGTGTCCTCAGGGCGGTCCTCGCAGTGATGACACCCGGGCGTTTCCTCCCGCCCCATCAGACACAGGTACCTCCCGAAACTTCCGTGTCCGGTGAGGACCTGCGTCAGGCGGTAGGTGAGGACGCCGTAGCGTCTCTCAAGCCACTCCTCAAAGAGGGGACTTACCGCTGCAATGGCAGCGAGCCCAAACTGAAAACACTAGCAATTCATGGAGTTATTCATACAAACCTTTTCCTACCGACTGGCGAATGATGAACACAACTTACTGATCTTAGAAACCTGTTATACATTTTCTTGACAATTTTCTTCATCATAGTACAAAATCTACGCTAAATATAAATAGGTATAAAGCCAAAATGTACCCTCTGCCAGTATTTTCTACCGCAAACACAATCAAACTGTCCATCACATGATTTGGACATGACCAGACGTTCACTTCGCACTCAGCTTAATTTCAATAGACTAGAGTATCAGCTTAACCTATCAACGGACCGGGTGAGCCGGCCTGTCTACATTAGCCAATCAGCTTACGTCGCACGGGATTAACCAACACGTTTGACTGTCACATTCGTTGCGTGTTTCGAGAGTACATACTCATACACTGATTGGACAATCCCTTTCATATCGTTATGATATCATTTCCGAGTAGATTGCTTAAAAATTTCAACCCTTTTTTGGTTTTAATTGCCATTCCACTGGTATTTGGTAAATATTTTTTTGAGTAATTTTGATTTGAATTTTGTCTATGAAGATTTGACTAGTTAATTATGACAATTGTCATGCCTTTGATCACTTTCAATGTCAAAGAGTTGGTGTAGTAGGCCTTTTTTTGAGGGGGGAAACCAAGCAATGACTTCCCACCTTGGGTGAGATGAGACGGACTGGCAGACTCTTACTGACTAAAAATCACCCCCTTCTTTCTCCTGCTTCGAGCCGGAGCCCCGGTAACTCTATATTTTAGGTCGTCCGCAGCTCTTGGTCTCACAACAGTGTATCATACATTTTGATGTGAAACTTTCAACTGCTTCCTATATTTCGGAGAACAACATGCCTGCATTGCTCAAGAATATACAAGTAGGAGAACTGAAAAGGAACCTTAACAGATAGGAATGCGTTGTCCACTATTCACTAACACTGTATTAATACGTAACTAATTAACAGTAGGTATATTTTCCAGATCCTTCTCAAACCATATAGTAATTTCCTTTTCGAAGTCATAAACACCTCTAAATAGTATAAATAAAGCCATTCAGACTACATAAATGCGTAATAGTCCTGGCTCCAACGTGAATCAGAAGCAACGGTTAGTTTACAGAGAAACGACCTCACGGGTCATCGACTTTGTTAATTTAGTTCGAAAGGGAAAATAGTGGCTACTGAACATTACCCGTTTGATGGCTTTTAGGGTTTATAAGCTTAAATATACTGGGTTTCATGTATTTAGTGGAATATATGTCGTTCATTGAACGGAGGTAATAGTGGCTATGTTAGAAACATTTGAAATTATGTGCTTTATTTAGTAAAGTTACGTTTGGTTTATTTGTTAAGGAACACGATCATAGAATATTTAAGATTCTAAGAAGTATGTTAGGAACAGCACTTAACTTTCCTTAGACTTAAGGCCGATTTTTCCAACCCCAGATTTTAACTGAGAAATAACTTTGAACATTTGACAATTCTTCCATACTAAACAATATGTTAACAAATGTTCATTTTATTCTACGGTTAAAAAATTAGGTGATGATTGAAAAATCGGCGCTAAACTACTTAGTTTTACGTTAACTAGCAATAAGTGACATATACTCTGCCATATCTACATAATCATAATGTACCTAAGAAATGTAATAGACTAAAATATACTTTTATCTGACACCATAACATTCATAACTCTGAATCCTTATGTAAAATATCAAATGGCTAAATTATACGAACGAAGAGGTAAAACAAAGGTAGATAAAATACTGCAGGGGTTAAAAGCATCAATAGATATGATTCATTCGTAAAAATAGGTAGTAGAAATTGTAGATTCTAGTCAAATTAAAAACGTTAAGTATTTTACATACACTGTGTTTATGCATACTATCCGACACGCTTTTTTTAATGCCCGTTTTCGCCAACCACTCCTAAACGATATCATAACTAAGAGTTAAATAGAGTAAGAGAGCACCTAAACTCCTGAATTGTACTGTTAGGTGTCACTTAGAGGCTGGTGAAACCCAAAATGTCGTCAAGAGTCACTTAGCTTAGGGGTTCGTTAAAATTTAAAAGATGTTGGTGAAAACCTCATATAAATACAGTATATTAAGTTATTTTTTAATAAGTTTTCCCTCGCTTAATACAAGCGTCGGAGTCGTGGCATAACTTAAATGTTGATTAAAATATTCCTTTACTTAATTTTACAAAAGAAAAAGTCAATCAACTTAAACAAAATTGTACATAACTAGAGACCAATTTAAAATATTACCTTCTTTTATAAAATAAAGGACACATAAAAATACGTTAAACGTCGTCCCGTGGCATAAAAAACAGACGATCGCAGTAAACACTCGAAAAGATAGCGAAAAAAAAACATAATCTATTAAGCAACATCGCAAAATGGCTGCATAATATCACGTTCGGAAAAGTTCGTGTATTATACGACAAAATTATATTGTTGAACTTACGTTGCATGTGTATGTGTTGCTTGGGCATTTTGTAATCGGGCGGGTAGCATCGTTCGTAGAAGTCTAGGTCGCTGACCTGGCATACCTCAGGCGTTGGTATTATCAGACCAGTGCCTGATATCGCCCTCTGCAGATGGTGTTCCTGTGGACAAAGAGAATGTTCTGTTAGTTTGAGAACTTCAATAAGTGAATACAGTTCAATATGAAGTGATACAATCGTGAGGTGACGTTCACCCTCGTAATGGTCTCCGAAAACTCTTAACCAAGTTTTATATTTAACTCGTCGAATACCGGTTTTATAGACACAATTAAAGAACAATAGGTCGCGGTCACCGGTGACCGCTTGGTGTTTGACAGTTTAATACATTATTTAATCAAAAAGATATGGTTGAATTTCGACCATATAGGCACTGCTTTACTGATCTCGGGACCCCAAAAGCTTAATTGGTGCAGTTCTTCAGTGCTTATGCGCATGCATACATTTCAGATTTCATTTTTAGTTTATCTAGTTTCTACCATTCCAACATTTGAAAATGATCATTAGTCCCATTAAAATACGTAGGAAGTCCAACGTCATCGTCATTATTGCAATATTACATCATACGAAAGCATAGAGTATTACATAATTAGAACATTAATATTACTGTTAGGTTTCATAGCGCATTGGCAAACTGGATGCTTCATTGTGTATGCTCGGAGAATACAAATTAGACGGTGCAAAGGAAAGGCACTAAATTCGAATCGATAGATATTTACCCATATTTTTAAGAAAAAGAATTGCTTCAGACAAACGTTGTACAGCTAAAAGGAATTTTCCAGAAAAACTCGCTTCAATAGAATCATTAACTTACGTCATACATAATCCGATTAGACTGTTGCTAGATCTAAATCCAGGATAAAACTAAGCAAAGAAAGAGCTGACTATAATTAAAATAAATTGCCACCTAGTACCAAGAATGGAGGGATAATGTTTTTTTTTATACTTTCATATTGAAAAGAGGTATTTCTTTGTAGAGGTTTAAGGCGATTAGGGTCTAAGATATTATAACCTTTATGAAAAAAGTAAAAGGATTTTTTAATATACAAACTGGATTTTCATGTAAAGAAATTGGACTAAGCACTTTTATATTAAATGTCTTGCTGAACTCCAGTGAAGTTTTCTAGCTTTTTATACGATTACTATAACCTTACAGTTTTCGAAATATGGAGATCTCTCAATGAAGCTTTGAACATATCTTAGTTCTTATGTTTTTATACTACCTACCATATTTTAGCGCTAAAAACTGATGGGCTACAATACTTTTACAGCTTAAAAAATCGAAGGATATATGTATTGCCTTCCATCCATCTGGATAAGAGATACAATACCCCTAAAAAAGCAGAAAAATAGGGAGTACTATAGATATACCTGCATATAGCAGTGGACGAACTGGGCCTGAAATAATGATGGTGATGATTGCATATCGATATAAAAACCTCTTTTCATCTTAGACAACTGAAGTATTCCATAGTAAATTTTCAAGGATAAGTACTCATACAACAGCATACATCTGTCAACACGACTTGGAAACGTTCCCACAAGTCGTCAGCATCTCGAATCCGCATCGTGACGTCACAGTTTCTATAGAACTATGACAACACTGCGGTGATATTGATAAGGTATCGGGTGGTATGATTAGATCCATGATAATGATAATGCAGATGGTGAAACTTTTACTGTTATTCCAGCATTTTGGCGAGGAAGCTTTAATAAAGTAGAATATTTTAATACACAGCATGAACAGAACGGTTATTGAACAGCTCTAGGATAAACAATGATAAAGGTTTGCGTCTGATTGTATCCTAATATCCGAAACTGTAAAGTCCACAGGAACATCTCTCTTTTTTGTGCTTAGTAAGTTTGGGATTGTTCTGTTAATGATCTGTCATGGTAGGAGCATCATTCTATGTTCGTCAAGTATAATTATTTGAAGAAAATACGCTATATTTCGTTAAAATTCTACAAACACTCCTACATTAAAGAATTCAAAACAAAAACACCTTCAACACTGACATCAGCATAAAACTGTAATAATAAATCTTCGTCCCCCATTTTTTCTATATAAACCTAGGCACGAAATGACCGTAGTCTATATTTTTAATCAAGTCCATATACAATTTCTAACAGAAATAACTGACCCAAACTCCTGGCTGGCACGCGATACCACGGCCAATTTCACTCGAAGGTGACTTAGCATTCGCAGAGGCCGTTCACGTCATGTCTTCTTTAATTTAAGTAAAAGAAAGCATGGTGATATTATTATTGTGATTGGTTTTGTTAATAAACGGAAGTAATGTGTTTATTGGACACCGATCTCAAATACAGCGCACGCCGTTGTCAGTATGATAAATTTTAAAAGATAAAATATTTTGTTCATCTATTCTCCGAAAGTCCATAAATAAGTTAGAATCCTTCTACATTTAAGGCTCGTGTCTGCCCATTTCGACTGTTATAAATATTCACATACTACGATCTTCCAAGTTCTGTAGAAACCCATGCCGCTATTAGCAATCGCAGATTTTGAAAAGAAATAGATCTCGCACAAAATTTTTATCAACAAGTTATTGTTACATAATCCGAGCAACTGCAATTAGCCTCTATCACAACTAAACATCTAAAATAGACCATTAACCAAGCCCCCATATAATTCCCTATCATGACAAACAAACAAACAAACAGTCTACTAATCAGTAAACACTACAAGTTCCGCGCTCAACTTGGTCATAGGAAAAACATCGGTCCTTCCCAACTTACCCTCATTAACGAAGAAGGGAATTGAATTAAGGCGAGCCTACCGAAAACACATTTGGAATTTATTATGAATGTTGTTTTAGGTAGTACAAGTAAATATTATATACCTATCATGATGATATTTACTTGGTAAATACTGTCTGAGATAGCTTTCAGCTGGGTGATCGGGAAGGCATTGGGGATATAAATATTATCCGGGGGCCAGAGTCCCCAGAAAATATTTTTAAGAAGCAGCCCAAATAGCAGTATTGAGACATATCAGAATAAGTCTTAAAACTACAACCAACCACTCCGGTGTGGATAAGAGTAATCTCTTAATCAGTTAAAACCTAATTTTTCTATGTCGCCTGTCAAACGTAGGGATTTATGGCAAATCCCTTCTAAAGAGGAAGGCCTATATTCAGCAGTGTACGTGATCTCGCTGGTGACAATAACGAATAAAGAATTAATGATCTTTACAATATATGAAAAGTTAATTAAACAGCAGACTTTGCTAATGACCCTTGTATACAGCATTATGTTGGTCTCCCATCACATAAGACTTAGGAACTGGCAAAATTGTACACTCGCATTTTATATGTATGTGAACCTCTGTAACCTCTGTCTACCTTCGGTCCTTGGGGACATTATCTTGTCTCCTGATAAATGTAGCTGTTGATTAACTGCCTCGTAAACGAACTTCTGATAATGTACCCAGAAAGGTTCTAATTGCCGTGTCGATGAAATTACTCTTGGGATTTTGGATTACCGATTTTCTTAATAGCAGCATGAAGTTCGTAGTTATAATATATAACAATCTAACTTCTTTAATAATTCTTTCGCGTCTTATTATGAAGAGAAGTTAGCCTTTGTATTGTTCTATCTCTTTTTCATGCTGATGCCCATTTAGTCATCCCAATGCGACTTATTAACAGACATATATTATTATTTTAGTAGAATAGATAAATAACTTTTCAAAAATTGACTACAGTACACAAACACCACGTCAATCACCAATCAATGGCATTTTCCATCAAGTCCAAATTCTAAAATCAATCACGTAAACGTTTGCTGATAAATAAACTCCACAAAACAAACGAAGGCATTTTCCATTCGAACAACAATAAAGCTGACCTGAATTCAGTATGGCAGTCAGTTTTATCAATGAAAATTAATGGTCCACATAAACCACTGTGATCGTGGCAATCCCCTAAAACTAACCCTAGCCGATAAATTGATGCGGTTCCTAGTTATTTACCCTTTAGAACCTTTCAATTAATCATTTAGATACCCATTGTCTATTTGTTACTTTTCCTGTCTTTGTGAACCTCTATTTGTCTTGGGTAAACTGTCTAAGATTTAAGTCCAAGGAATCTTATAAGATAATGTTATTATTTTGTGTTTGTTTAACATCATCCTTGTTTATTGTCTGAAGAGTATTGATTAACTTTCAGACTGCGATTATTGACAATTGCAAGAGTAAAATTGTAATAACTCTCCAAACCCGAGTGGTACGAGGATCAGGTCGAAAGAATTCAGGTCCTTGTCATTCTGACAATGGAATAAATGTTATCATCCTCATCATCGTATCAGCCATAAGATGTCCACTGCTGAACATGCCTCATCCAACCTTACACTATTTTATAAACTCTTCAGAGTTTATTTGTTTGAACGCGCTAATTTTGGGAACTACTAATCCGACTTGAAATAATCTTTTTGTGTTGCATAGTCCATTTATCGAGGAAGGCTATAGGCTATAAAACATCACGCTACGACCAATAGGATCCGAGCAGAGCTGGTGAAACCGCGTGGAAGTAACTAGTGAAGGATATAAACCTTAAAAAAGTACATCGATACAAATTAATATGACACATTGTCACACATTACACGCACATAGATATTTACTATCAAAACAGTGTAGCGTAGAGATAAGGCGATATGAATGGACCGTGCATACCTACTAATGCTTTATCATCCCACGCGTTCAATCTGCTATAATAACCAGCGGTCGCAAGATACTGTGTACTGTACAATCGATAGATTTGAATCATGACCCGCATTGAATGTATAAATCGTTTGGAATAACATTGACTAGCATGGTTTTTTTTAAGGGGGGAAAATCATCGAATGTCTTCTCCCGCCTGGGTGAGGCGGGAGGGAGTGTCAGGCTCTTACTGACTAAAAACCACCCCGTTTCTTCTCCTGCACTATGAGCCGGAGTCCCGGTAACCCGTTAGGTTCTCCGCGACTCCGAATCGGCATCAGCCTTAATGGGCCCCATCTGTGGTGGTCTGATGGCTCTTTGAGGCGCGCGTCTGGTTCTGGTCGGGCGGCGAGTCACCCATGCTAGCCGTCCGCAGGCCCGTGACTAGCATGACTACAAAATAAAGATGAGGTGGGTTATTATTAAAACTTGTCAATTGCACTCATGACATTTTACCCGACCGTAGGAACGGTATTGTTTTTCGCGCGTATCTTGTATGTATGTATGAGTGTAATATTTTTTATTACTTCGTTTCATCTAAACCACTCAACCGATTTTTAATTGTTTTGTTTATGTAATCTCAATCTGTGTACCTACATCTGAGTAATCGATCGTTTGGTGAGATTTTTATGTATGTGACGATGAAGTATTACTCATCATCACGCCTTTTATCCCTGACGGTGTAGGCAGAAGTGCATATCAAGGCATCTAATACCACTGTACAATGTAACATCGACTTTTCAATATTTATGTTACAAGTCCCGTGTAATAGAGGGTGAGTCTATTGCCATATACCGGACACAATACCAGACTCCGTGCTTGACGCACTTGTGACCATTCTTCCAACGAGTCAGGCGTGACGATAAAAGTAGAAAGATAATTTTAAGATAAACTTGAATATGACGACCCTCAAAAATACCTCACATAGGTAACTCCTAAAACATAAGAAACATATACAACCTTTAGTACCTGTATACTTCTATACATCTGAAAAGACGACAAACAAAAATAGTTAGCGACGAAGAAACTTTTTGCGAAGGGTGTCGTCGGGTTCAAACGCGTAATACTTCCGAGTTTCCGAGCCGGCTCCCTTTAAGAGGGACGAA